AAGTTTCAGAAACACTGTAAAGGTGGACAGGGAATACATGGCAGTAGATTAGAGTGCCAGTGAGATGATCTGCAGTACCTTTCACATCTTGTGTTTGATGAAAAGCCACTGTAGTACTTAATGGAAGAAAGTAAGAGTTAAAAGAATAGAAAACAAAACAACGGTCTGAAAGAATATGTGCACCCCTATGTTCATAGCAGTGTTATTTACAATAGTGGAGATCTGGAAACAATCCAAGTGCCCCTCAGTAGGTGAGTAGATACAAAAGATATGTACATTTATACAATAGAATACTAGGCAGCTGTACAAAAGAAGGATCTCTTACCCTTTGAGGCAGCAGGGAGGGACCAGGAGAGTATCAATGTTAAGTGAAATAAGCCAGGCAGAGGAAGACAAGAATCACATATGATCTCACTTTTATGTGGGATCTAATGAACAAAATAAAATGATGAACAAAATAAATCCAGAGACATGGAAGCATGGATGAGACTGACAAATCTCAGGTCGGAAGAGATTAACCAAAGAACTTACCTGCGTAACCCATGGCCACAGACAGTATGGTGAAGGCGTGGGGTGGGAACGGAGCCTGGTGGATGGGGTAATGAGCGAGGGAAAGGGGGACATCTGTAATACTTCAGCAATAAACATTAAGAATTAAAAAATAATATATGGCCAGCACAGCTTTGGTAATGATGTTCAGACAGTCTTGGTGAGGGCAGTGCTGTGGCTGAGAGTTCATTGAGGAACAGGTTGCAGTAACCTGGTGAGAGGTGCGAGAGTCTTCAGGAAGTTACAGTGCAACCGTAAAGAAAGCAGTGTTTTGTGAGGCAGTTTAACCTCAGGCATTTGGGAAAGAAAGCCTTGCCAAGAGTGATATGAAATTTATATCCTTATGTTTGGGCCCAACTCTCTGCTGTTCCAGGGGTTGCAAGTAAATGAAAAATACATAGTCATGCCCCCTCCAAGTATGAGAAGCCCTTTACCCATAACTAGAACTTTGGTGTAGGAGGATAGTAAAGTCCTGCTGTTCAGAAATTTATTACCCATTCTCTCCTTTAGTAAAGTCTTTCTTAGGATAATTTTGATAATCATTGGACCTCTCAAAATTTTTAATGTTCTTATATAAAAAATTTATTGAAAAACAAAATTGCCCTATGAAAAGTTCTTTTTGTTTTATTTTCCATAAAGATGCTTCCTGTTACAGTTCTTCAGCTACCCAGAGAAGAATAAGTAGGATGTGCCAGTTTCCACTTCCTTCTCCACTCCTCCACCACAACCTTGGGCACTAATGTAGCATGGTTGCTTTCTTAGCTTGCCTCCACAATAATGCTCCTCCCTCTTCTTAAACGCCTCCATGCCAAAGGACAATGCGCAGCGTTCACTCTTGCAATAGATGCTAATTGTGTGCTTGGTTGGGCTCTTGCTGTCATCATAGTCACAATCACAGTGCCATTGTGCTGGGAGGCTGGTCACAGTGGTTACTGTGCAGAGCGATGAATGCTGTTTTCTTGGGATGCGATGTCTGCATCTGTGGGTGACAACACACACGGTCACTGTAATTTGCTTGGCAAGTGATCAGACTGGTATAAAATAACATTATCTGTTCGGCAAGTTAGCAGTCACAAAGAACGATTGATTTTTTTTTTCCACATGGAATTTTTAATGAGAAACTTCGAGTAATGGAGATTGAAGCTGTGAGAACAGCTACCAAGTGTGTGTTGCATATTAACCCCTATTTTTCAGTGTATTTTGGAATCACATTTACATACCCAGAAGGTAAGGAGCTGAGAGTGCCCACTCTGCATATCTCTGCTCTGGCTCAGCTTAAGAAGGGCTGCTTAAGCACCGTTAATTACGTGTTGGATACATGGCATGATTGGTGTCAGTTAGGAATGAGGCTTCAGGTAGTGTCCCCTCCATGAAATTTATGAATTCTGAAAGCATAATCACAGTGAATATAGACTCTTTCTTGGCCTAGTTCTTTCACCTACGTGAGGAAAAGGTATTTTTAAAAAATATTTTTATTGATTTTACAGAGAGGAAGGCAGAGGGATGAGAGAGAAACATCGATCAGCTGTTCCTTGCACAGTCCCCACTGGGGATGTGCCTGCAACCAAGGTACATGCCCTTGACCGGAATCGAACCTGGGACCCTTGAGTCCACAGGCCGACGCTCTATCCGCTGAGCCAAACCAGTTAGGGTGAAAAGGTGTTTTTTTTTTTTTTTTATGTGGTTGTTGTAAAAGGATGGTATTTAAATTTCAGCAGTGCTCGCTGAAAAGCTGAAATAAAAGGAAACATTTGCTCTTTTAAAAAATAACCTGGGTGATGTTTTGCAAGGGTCTTAATTGCAAAGACCCCAATTTGGAGCTGATTATTCTCTTGATAAACTAACTCCTATGGTTTCTATCTTTCCACCCTCCTTCCCATTTTTAAATACTTGCCAACTGTTTACTCATTAGCATTGCTTATTAAAAGTGGTTTGGGGAACACGTTTCAGAGCAGTCCTTTTTTGTATGTTTTTCAAGTTTTGTCAAATTCCCAGCAAATATAAACCTCTTCATTGCCTAAAGGTGAAGTTTAACCAAATTTATATTTTTTAATTTATTTTTTTCCTCCTGCTTATGTACATGTCTAAATGGTTGCTTTTTAGGAAATTGGATTTTGATTAGTGCAGTCATTTGTATTCCTTGAAGGGAGAAGAAGTGATGTTTCATGTGACTTATTCACATTTGTACAGTTTGGGGTATTTTTCATGATCCCAAACACTTAGAAATAACAAGGGCTTGTGATTTTGGCGGAGGGAAACACACTAACTAGCCAGGTGAGATAATGTAAGCATTATATAATCTAACCATTGTAGATAAAATCCTTTTGTCCCTATTTTGTAGTATTAATGATGTGTAAAATTCTACCTTTAGATATAGGAATAGAATATGTTCAATATGGAAATATGGGGAATATTTTTATAAAAAGGAAAATCCAATAGATCACCAATTAGTCTCCATACTTGCCATGAAAACTAGCAGTCATTAAATTTTGCCATATGTACCTTTCTGTGATTTTTGTATCACTTTTGCATAAGTCTTATATGGATGAAGGCCATTTAGAAACACAAGAGTCACTTCAAGTTTCCTCCATAATTTAATAAGTTTTTATAAAAAATGTTATCAACATTTTCTGATATTAAATGGATTGACAGATGAACTTTAGGAAGAACATAAGACTGTGTATGGTTAATATTAAGAACATTTCCTACAGTTTGTAAAGATGGTTAATATTAAGAACATTTCCTACAGTTTGTAATATTAAGAACATTTCCTACAGTTTGTAAAGTTTCTTTGAGGTTTTTCAAAACACATTTTTCTTGTTATATGGGCATGTTGGCTTTACGAAGGTGAGGCTGATTTACTTCTTCTCAAAGGAGGTATAAACGTGACCCTCATTCACAAATTGCTTTTTATTTAAACGTATTTTCCTTTAGATAAATAGAAGTCAGTTAACTTATTCTAATGAAAAGTTGCTCTTTTGTCTTTTTTTTTTTTTTTTAACCTCTTCCCTTCCTTCCTCTGACAAGCCACATTCTGCTTCCGTATTGCTAACTGCTGCTGTTTTTTTTTCTGCTTCTGTGACAGCCAGCCGATGGCGGAGTCTCTTCTCTTCAAATGTCTCCCTGGCTTTTCCTTATAGTCCTGTTGCAAGACTCAGTCCTTATAGCAATGGCATTAATACTCCCAGCTTCTCTAAAACCTCAAATAAAGCAATACTAACACCTGAAAGAACAGGTAATCCTTCAACTTCTCGACTAGCTGCTTGCTTTCTTGTTCTTAGTTACTAAACTCAGCTTAAATATCCCATCTTTCGTTGGAAAGCTTGAGGGTAATCTTATCACATGAAGAATTTTGTTGCGCTTACTTTGGATATGAAAAAGGCTAACGTTAATTTGTACTTTAACACCATTAATCTGCTCTCCGTTGGGTGTGATCAGCAGTCGGTCTGCCCTCATTGTCAACAGTATATGGATATAGTTAACGTGTTTCCAAGTGCCTAGTGTGCTTTTCAAATGAAATGTCAAACAATTCAGTACTTTTTATTAAGATTCAAGGATTTATATCTTGTTCTTTTAAAAAATTTTAGCTTTTTATTGTAGCTTTTTAAAAAATATATATTTTATTGATTTTGTACAGAGAGGAAGGGAAAGAGATAGAGAGCTAGAAACATCGATGAGAGAGAGTCGTCGACCAGCTGCCTCTTGCACACCCCCTACTGGGGATATGCCCACAACCAAGGTACATGCCCTTGACCGGAATCGAACCCGGGACCTTTCAGTCCCCAAGCTGACGCTCTATCCATTGAGCCAAACCGTTCTCGGCCTATTGTAGCTTTTTATGCAGCCAGAGTTACATAGAAAATAGACATAGTTGCTCTTTATGAGATGAAGATTGCATTCCTGCAGCTTCCTCCCTTTCGGTCCTATCTTCCTTGTTCTCTTGTCTCGAGCCATTGCTTTTTCACTCTCAGGAGTGACTACCAGTCTCCTGACTGCTCTACACTAAATTTCACAGGTTTCATAAATGTTTCTGTGTATGGATGTGTGCTTTTTATATGTGATATTCTTGCTTATTTGTAATACTGTTGTTTGTAACTGTTTAAAAAATGGGCTGGGTTAAATGTTAATTTTAAAATACAGAATAATTACTACTGAGACAAGCATATCTGATTATTAAAGTGAACATGGATATGTACTTATATAATGCATTCAGATATATGCTTATCTAATGGGATTCAGATTTTAGCATTGATGATTTCCTTTCTTATTGTGGTAAACATACACACACACACACACACACACACACACACACGGAAATCTCTTTTCCTGGTCGCTTTTGGGTGACATGTAAACAGGGCAGAAACTGGTAATTGTCGATAACATGAACTATAAAGCATGAATAGATATCAGTTCTTTAGTCTAAACGATAAACCTACATCCTTTGTTTTTAGGTTACACCTCCAGGGGTTCCCCTCTCAGCCCCCAGTCGTCCATAGACAGCGAGCTGAGCACGTCAGAACTGGAGGACGACTCCATCTCCATGGGGTACAAGCTGCAGGACCTCACTGACGTGCAGATCATGGCTCGTCTGCAAGAAGAAAGTACGTTGTTGTTTTTTTTTTTGTGTTTTTTTTTTTTTTTTGTGTGTGTGTGTGTGTGTGTGCGCGTGTGTGTGTGTGTGTTTTTTTAGTACCAGAACACATTTTAAACTAGGGGCTTCTCCTTGAACTGTGAGGGCATGAGGAGTTTTCAGGTATTTCTTCCCAGGTAATGGGCAAACACTTAGGACCTTTCTCTCACACTGCCTTGCTTTGTAGATGGAGCAGTTCATGTTTCTCACATTCTCATGAGCATCATATGGTGTTAGGACATGACCAAAATGCACGGACACAAAGACCGGTGCTGGGATGGCCACTGTGGAAACAGTTTGACAGTTTCTTTAGAACCAAACCCATAAATTCCACAAGGCCCAGCATGTTTCACTCTGGGCATTTACCACAGAGCTGTGGGAATTTGTGTTCACACAGAAACCTGTACAGAACATTTGCAGGAGCTGTTTGTAAAAACCAACACCTGGAATGAACTCAGATGTCTCAGTAGGGGAATGGTTTATCAATGTCCTGGAGTAGTGCATGTCCTGGAGCACTACTCACCAATAAAAATGAATGAACCATCGATTCATGCACCACCATGGGTCAATCTCCAGGGAATTACACTCAGTGGAAAAAAAGATCATCCCAAGAGGTTGTATACTGTATAACAGTTCCATTTATATAGTATTTTGGAATGACAAAATCTTAGAAGTGAGCAGTTTAGTGGTCACTCAGGTTAGGGGTGCAGTGTATCTCAGGAGGAAGGTGGATGTAGTTATAAAAGGGCAACACAAGGGTTTTCTGGGGGATTTTGGAACAGTTTGTTCAGTATTTTGACACTGGTGGTAGGCACTTGATCCTACAGGTGGTAATTGTAGAAAATTTAATACCAACACTTATAAGCATGCATTAGTAGAACCATAAACACTTAAGATGGGTTTGTATCACTGCCAGTGTTCTGGCTATCATGTTATTCTATAATTTTGCAAAATGTTACCATTGAGAGAACTGGACAAAGTGGCAAGAGAACCCTGTCTTATTTCTATAGTACTTCATGTGAGTCTATAGTTATCAATAAAACAATCAGTTAAATGCATATGGTATACTTTTCAGAATAAATAATTATGGAAGAGGAGATCATTGGGAATGGGACAATTTATCCATGGTTCTGCAATAAGTTACAATAAATAATCTGGGAGTGAACACTTCAAGGATATTTATGGCAGAAAAATGCGCAGTACAACGTAGATCACAGAACCTGGCTAGGCTTGTTTTGCAGTTACCTTTTCAGGTCAACATAAGTAGAAACAGCCAACTATCATTTAAGTGTAACAGTTTCCTGGTTTCAGAATCAGTCAATGCTACTATGGGAAACATGATAATGCTTATGCAGGGTTTAATAAGGTACATTTTGAGGGAAAAGTGATTTTTTTGGTCATTATTTAGTAACAGTAAACTAATACTCTTTCTTCGTGTATATGGCTAAAAAATTTAGAAGTCAGTTTTTAGAAGTTAAGAAACTTAGGTTAACTATTTTTAGATAGCTATCGTTTAGGATGACCCCAAACCATTGTGATATTGAAATGTCACTATGCTTTGAAAAAGTACAAATGAGAGGCGACCTTGTTAGAAAATACCACAAGTTTTGCTGATTTGAGAGTTGGGGTGGGGAGCAGGAGGAGTTCGTGTTTGGGCAGAGATTTGATTAATTGCCTAACTCATAGCAAACAGTTTATAAGGATGATGAATACTATTTCCCCAGCAGCCTCTCTAAGTATCTCTGGAGTTCAGAAAGGATCATCTTCGGAAATTGACAGGCATTGATTGATAAATTATAGCAGTAGGTACTATATTTAATTTTCACTGAACTGTGGCAATCTTTTTCCAAAACAGAATAGTCTAAGGTATATAATAAAAACCCAGTGACTGTTAATGGCAGAATGATAAGAACGACTGGTCACTATGATGCACACTGACCACCAGGGGGCAGATGCTCAATGCAGGAGCGGCTCCCTGGTGGTCAGTGCACTCCCACAGTTGGGGCACCACTCAGCCAGAAGTTGGGCTCACAGCTGATGAGCGCAGAGCTGGTGGCAGCACTAAGGAGCAGAATGCCAAGTGGTAAGGAGCTAGCAGGCAGGCAGATAGGAGCCAGGGATCCTGGATTGTAAGATCCCTGGCTCCTATCCAGTCAGGCCTAAACCAGCAGTCAGACTTCTCCCAAGGGGTCTTGGATTGCAAGAGGGCTCAGGCCGGACTGAGGGATTCCCTCATCCCTGTGCACAAATTTTGTGCATTGGGCCTCTAGTATTTTAATAAACTAAGAACAAGATAATGGGTCTCTGAATTACTGTATTTTCAGGCATATAAGATGACCCCCTAATTTTACAGTTAAAACATAGGTTTAGGCCTATATTCACTGTATAAAATCCAAGCAGGCTTTTTATGCATGCAAATTATACATGTTCTGTATCCGAAGCTACACTGTGTTCTAGTAAAAAGCCTGCTCAGATTGGCCAGAGTCAGAGAGGTGGTCTATTAAAAAAAGAACTGGTGTTGCCTCGGAAGTGGGGGGTAGTCTTATACAGTGAATATAGGCCTAAGCCTCTGTTTTAACTGTAAAATTAGGGGGTCATCTTATACGCCGGAAAATACGGTATTTGGCACAAAATTTTCTCAAATATTTGAACTTAATTTTTGCTAGATTGAAATATCTCCAATGATAATACTATTTCTTATTATTTTTTTAGGTCTCAGGCAAGATTATGCTTCCACGTCAGCATCCGTGTCAAGACACAGTTCCAGTGTGTCGTTGAGTTCAGGAAAGAAAGGGACATGTAGTGACCAAGAATATGACCGATTCAGTTTAGAGGATGAGGAAGAATTTGACCATTTGCCACCACCTCAGCCCCGTCTTCCAAGATGCTCACCTTTCCAAAGAGGAATTCCCCATTCACAGACTTTCTCCAGCATTCGGGAATGTAGGAGGAGCCCCAGTTCCCAGTATTTCCCTTCCAATAGTTACCAGCAGCAACAGTGTTACTCACCTCAAGCCCAAACTCCAGATCAGCAACCAAATAGGACCAACGGAGGTAGGTTATGACGCCCTTTTGGGATGTGCTGGGCTGAAGAAATGGTCTTCAGTCGATGTAAACATTTCCCAGCTTTATTAAGTACATTATCAAGACCTTATCAGTTTGTTCTAAATTCGAATCTGTAATTGACCAGCTCCCGGTTACATGTCCCAGATTTATAGACCTAGGGCTTCAAGAACACCACCGCAATGTAGCTGGCACAGAATGGGCCGTAAATGGGAGCATCTTTTTGTGTTGCCAGTTCAGCTGTGGGATGGGCAGGGTTGTGCCAGTTGAGGAACTCGTAGTGAATCTCCATGGAGCCCGAAGCACTGAGTTAACTTTCCTCACCTTTCCCACAACCTCCAACCTCCTCCTGCCTGTTCCTAGCACAGAGTGATGGATAGTTAGTGCACGATGATGCTTGGAGAAGATGCTGCTTGTCACCTCCAGGCTATGGGGAAGTTTGGATATGTCTTCCCCTCCGATCCTGACATCTAGAATTGGGATCTAGTGTAGCAGTAGGAAAATGGGGAAATAAACCATATTTATACAGGTATAGCATTTAATTATAAAGCACCGTTTCTCAAAGTTGAAGCCAGAAGTGCTCGATCAGGTAATTTTATAATATTGCAAAGCCGAATACAAATTATATTTGTGGTCATCTGTTACCATGTTTTTACTTCTTACCTTTTCTTTCTGTGTACTTGTGTCATCAAATTAAGAGATAATTGGAAAATATTAGTCCTAATTTCGCTGTTTTTGTACCTTCAGATTTAAAAGAAAACAGTGGCAGCTAAAGAGTGTTATAGTGGCTAGTTTATAAAAGCTCATAATATCAGAAAGGCAGTATATGCCATATGCTTAATGAAAGTCATAGCCTTATTTTTCAATTGAGGGGGAGGGCACCTGGCATTGTTTCTCTGAAGATTTTTTTTTTTTTTTGTCAAGTGTCTGTGAACATCATATCCTAGTTGTCAAGCAGATGCTGGCTCTGTATCTCGATTAGTACTGCCAAATAGGATCATTATCTCACCTTGGAAAAGGGGTTTTGACTTACATTAAACCCCATTATGAGCAGGATTAGGTTTCCCCGAACCTGTGCTGTGTGACTCCTGCTAGGAAAGTGGAGCCATATCACAGCTCCGTGTCCGGCTGTGGTAGCTGCATGGTTTCCTACAAAGGAAGATGGGATCCAGTATCAGAACATTCCTGTGTTACCAGGGACTATTATTGGATCACAACTGTGAAATGAGAATGGTAACTTTGAAACTAACGCAGCCAATATTTTTCTAAAATACCAAAATAAAATAGATAGGAGAAAATAATTGTTAAATCACTTATGCATTAAAAAAAATAATAAAAAATAAGCCAGAAATGTGTTACTTACATTTATTGCTTCTATAAGCACCTACATGGTCTAGGTTCAAAAGAGATGGCTCTTAAAGGTTGTTGGAATATTTCTAGGGATCATAGAATGGAAATATGCCTTTTTAGAGTAATTTACCAGATAGGAAATAATGACTAAATCTTGCAGAATTTGTAGGAAGTAGCAGGGATTATTGGTAGCATGCTGACATAATCACTCTTAGCCGGAGGATCTCCCTGGACCCCATTGACTGTTTGGTGGTAACCAAGTCTTTTCTTTATCCTCTGGTTCTTTAGTCTTTGTTGCGGAGTGGCAAGTCTTGCTGCTCCTTTTCTGTGAGAAAACTCATGTGAAATCTTTCCTTGGTCTGTCCCTCCAGCTTCCTGCTGCATCTTAATCATTGAGGATAAATTGCTGATTTCTTGTGAAGATAGAACATTATTTTTGATTCCTTGAATATTAAAGTAACCACACAGGAACCTTTATTTTTTTTCATCTGCTCTTTATTTTGATTTTTTTCCCTTTTGACTCAAACTGGCCTCACCTAGTGCCCAGACTCAGCCCTCCCCCGCCCCCCCCCCTGCTTAGTCGTTAAGCCCTCAGCATCCAGTAGTCCTAGAAACAAAGCCTCGGGTCTGTTGACCACAAGAACAGAGTTCTGGTCAAACTAGAGATAACATCTAGTTGTGTGTTCCCACATGTCCCCCCTCAACTGCATCCTTGTGACATCAGACGGAGCAATGCCATGGCTGACATCAGGACCAGTTGCAATGATCAACTATCCCTACCCTAGTGCCAGCCTGTCAGTGAAAACCATGACCCAAACTCCATTAGTCACCATGACTAATGATTTCCCCTGTATAATCTGTTTCCTGGAAGCCATTGGGAGCCAGGTCTTTGAATATAGGCTACTGTGACTCCGGGCATGGCACCATCTCCTTAAAATAACCTTACTTAAAAAAAAATTGATTTGAGGAGGGAAGAGAAGTGGGGGAGATGGAGAGAGAGAGAGAGAGAGAGAGAGAAAAGCATTGATTTGTTTTACTTATTTGCATATTCATCAGTTGATTCTTATTGTTATTATTATTGATTAAGGCAGTGTTCGGCAAACTGCAGCTCTCAAGCTGCAGCTTGCCAATCTGCTGACTAATGAGTTTGCCGACCACTGACCTAGACTCTCGATTCCAGTAATTACAGGCTATTGTTGTTCCCTGTGATTAAGCCCCTATTCCAGTGGTCGGCAAACTCATTATTCAACAGAGCTGCAAACCACAGCTCGTGAGCCAAAGTTTGCCGACCACTGGATTAAGGTATTACATATGTGTCTTTATCCCCCCATTGCCTTCCCATCCCCCATTGATGTCCTAACCCCCCTGGTGTCTGTCCATTGGTTAGGCTTACATGCATGCATAAGGGTTGATCTCTCCTCTTTACCTCCACCCTTCCCTACCTTCCCTCTGAGGTTTGATGGTCTGATCAATGCTTCTCTGTCTCTGAAACTGCGTTTGTTCATCATATTGTTGTTCATTATATTCCACAAATGAGATCACATGATATTTATCTTTCTCTGACTGGCTTATTTCACTTAGCATAATGCTCTCCAGTTCCATCCATGATATTGCAAATTGTAAGAATTTCTTTTTTTACAGCAGCATAGTATTCCATTGTATAGATGTACCACAATTTTTTAATATTTGCAGATAACATGATACAGTATATAGAAAGCCCTAAAGACTCCATAAAAAATTATTAGATTTAAGCAATGAATTCAGCAATGTAGCAGGATACAAATTTAATGCCAAGAAATCTATGGCATTTTATACACCGATAGTGAACTTACAGAAAGAGAGATTTAAAAAAACCCATTTACCATTGCACTAAAAAAATTAAGATACCTAGGAATAAACTTAACTAAGGAGATAAAAGATCTATACTCAGAAAACTATAGGACACTGAGAAAAGAGATAGAAGAAGACATAAACAGATGGAAGAACATACCGTGTTCATGGATTGGTAGAATCAACATCATTAAAATGTCCATACTATCCAAAGCAATCTACAGATTCAATGCAATTCCCATTGAAATACCAATGGCATACTTCACAGACCTAGAATTAACTCTCCAAAAATTCATCTGGAATAAAAAAATGACCCTAAATAGCTGCAGCAATCCTGAGAAGATCAAAGTAGGAAGGATCTCAATACCAGATATGAAGCGGTTGATTCTTATAAGTCTCCTTACCAGGGATTGAACCTGCAGCTTTGGCATATGGAGACAATGCTCTAACCAACTGAGCTACCCGGCCAGTGCAAATTCTTATTTTCTTGGCTGCATCTCTTGTTCATATTTTATTGGGCTTTGATGTGTGCAGGCAAATGGTCCCCATCAGTCAGTAACAAAAGTAAACATGGCCACTAATATACTCCACATTGTTTGACAGGAAAAGGTACCTTCATTTCCAGATGGTCCCAGACAACTTGGAGATCACAGCTTAGTTCCAAAGAGTAATGTTTTAAATATTTACACTTGACAGCCTTTATTTTTAGGAGTGTTTCAGATTTAAGTCTTAGTTAAACTGACTTGATAAGTAAGTAAAGATAGGTTTTAAAGATTGATACATCTGTATTAACAGAGATAACAGGTATAAGGAACAAGTCTAATGTGTGAGCCTTGATTGGATTGTGTTGTTTAGGATAGTGGTTGGCAACACTGCTCGCAAGCTGCGGTTTGCCATTCTGTTGACTAATGAGTTTGCTGACCACTGGTTTAGAAAGAAAAGATTATGGAAGACATTCTTGAGAAACTTGGAAATTGTTGTGTATGGATTATTATAAGCTACTAGTGCCTGGTGCACAAAACTTGTGCATAGGGTGGCGGGATGTTCCTCAGGCCAACCTGCACCCTCTCCAATCTAGGACCCCTCGGGGGACATCCCTCTCACAACCTGGGACCACTGACTCCTAACTGCTTACCTGCCTGCCTGCTTGATCACCCTTAACCACACTGCCTGCTGGCTAGCACATCCCCAATTGCCCGCCCCCCACCAGCCTGATCACCCCCAACTGCCCTTCTCTCCTGGCCTAATCGCCCCTAACCATTTCTGCATTGGCCCTGCCTCCATGGCTTTGGAAGGACCTCTGGAAGGTCTCCTGGTCTAATTAATATATTTTCCTTTTATTAGTATAGATAGAGGCCTGGTGCATGGTGATGGCTGGCTGGTCTGCCCTGAAGAGGGTCCCAGATCAGGGTGGGGGTCCACTTGAGGGCCAGCCTGGGTGAGGGGCCTAGGCAGTTTGCAGGCTGGCCATATCCCAGTCAGAGTGAGGGTCCTTTGCTGGGGGGTGTGGCCAGCATGAGTGAGGAGCTGAGGACTATTTGTGGGTGGTTTGCAAGCTGGCCAAGCCCCTGACTTTGTCCAGAAGGATGTTCGGAAGGTCTTCGGAAGGTCTCCTGGTCTAATTAGCGTATTACTCTTTTATTAGTATAGATTATCAATTTTTTACATGTCATGACAGTATTGTGATTCTATAGAACTTTCTTATTAGGTCTTACCTAGATTTCAAATAACCTGAGTACCTCCAGATTTCAAATTTAAAATAAACATTGATAGCTAAACAATGTCATAGTGACTCATTTATTAAAGCCATAATATCAGGAACACAATGTATACTATGTGCTTAATGAAAGTCACAGTGTCATATGAAAACAAGAGACATTTAGGGTTAAAGTGTCAGGAGATATGCAGCTTTTATGCTGCTTAACACTAGCAAACAATCTACACTAATAAAAGAGAAACATGCAAATTAACCAATATTCTGGTATGCCAAGCCACACACACCAGCCAATCAGGAGTTAATATGCAAATTAACCCAACTAAGATAGCAGCCACCATGGAACTGGAGCAAGCAGGAGGCTTGGGTTGCCCCGGCAATGGAGGAAGCCAAGCTTCCCACCCACCTTGGCCAGCCCTGGCCTCCACTCAAGGATACAAAGTTTCAATTATAGAAGATAAATAAATCCCAACAAAGATGGCGGTGGCCACAGAGCTGGAGCAAGCAGGAGACTTGGGTTGCCCCTGGTGATGGAGGAAGCCAAGCTTCCTGCCTGCCCTGGCCATCCCTGGCTTCCTCTCAAGGCTACAAAGTTTCAATTATAGAAGATAAATATATCCTAGATACTTGCTTCCATCCAACCCTGGCCTCTGTTCAGGGAAATGCTGGGGGGGAAGGAAAAAAAAAAAAGAGAGAGGCTGGGATCTTGGTCGCCAGGAGGTGATCAGGCCAGGATGGGACGGTAGGGGCCGTTGGGGATAAGCAGACCAGCAGGGGGGCCAGTTGGGGGTGAGCAGGCCATCAGTGGAGGTCAGTTGGAGGTGATCAGGACAACATGGGGGGAGGGGAGCAGTTTGGAGTGAGCAGGCCAGCAGGGGGGCAGTTGGTGGTGAGCAGGTCAGTGGAAAGGGAAGGTGGGGGTGAGCAGGCCAGCAGGGTGGGCAGTTAGCAAGCAGGCGAGCAGGGGGGACAATTGAGGGTGAGCAGGCTATCAGGTAGAGTGGTTAGGGGCAATCAGGAAGGCAGGCAGGTGAGCGGTTAGGAGCCAGTAGTCCCGGATTGTGAGAGGGATGTCTGACTGCCAGTTTAGGCCCGATCCCTGTAAATCGCCAGTAGGACATCCTTCGAGGGATCCCAGATTGGAGAGGGTGCAGGCCAGGCTGAGGACCACCTCACTCCATGCATGAATTTTGTGCACCAGGCCACTGGTATACACATAATATATCGAGAAGAATTACTAGTAAATGTGGCAAAATGAAAACTAGTATGTCTAGATGAAAAACCTACAGATGTTTTTGATACTTCTTTACAACTATATATATATATATATATATATATATATATATCACACACACACACACACACACACACATCAAAACTTTTATAGTAAAGACTTAGAAAATTAATAAACATGAAACTCAACTCATTTTCTAAATAATAATGTATAATTATTTTCCTGTAACTCTTTGCTGCTTAGTCAAAGTAATTTAATCTTGTATTGATAGAGACTCACTTTTTCATGCTAGTCGTTAATATGTTCAAAAACCATATCTTCCAGTGAGGATTAAAAAAACAAAAAAAAACAGTGATGAGGTCCAAACCAGGAGATAGCCTGTTTCCCCAAAAATAAGACAGTGTCTTTATTAATTTTTCTCCCAAAGTTGCACTAGGTCTTATTTTCAGGGGATGTCTTATCTTTCAATGCGCTAGGTCTTATTTTCGGAGGGTGTCTTGTTTTCGGGGAAACACTGTAGTAATGAAGATTCATTAAATATTTATGAGGCAGATTTTTGAGGACTTGGCATCAAGGGTGAAGAAGGGAGGTAAATTTTAGGAGATTCTCCAGATTTCTGGATTAAGTGACTTTCCAGAGAGGGCATACAATCAACAGATCTAAGTTATGTGGAAAGGCCCTGTGTGAAGCAGAAAGAAATGAATCCAGTTTTGTTCTTAATGAGTTTTGGTTTAGCATTTAAAAACTGAAGGCCCAGTGCATAAAAATCCATGTGAGGGAGTGGGGGGGGGGAGGAGGAGGAGATTCCCTCAGCCCAGCCTGCACCCTCTCACAATCTGGGAGTCCTACTGGGCAGCGGGCCTAAGTCACAGTCTGGCCTCCCTCTGCAGGAGGCAACAGGACAGGCCGATCGGGGATGGTGCTGGCCCTCCCCATTGCCTCTCCCCCCTCCCACTGGACACAGCCTCCCCCCCCCCATCACCATTCCCTTCCTCTGCCCGCTGGCACATGCCTTGGCTGGCCTGGTGCCACCTGCTTGCCGGCCCTGCCCACCAGTCGATTTTCACATTATGCTTTTATTAGATAGTGTATCTGTTCTTTTCTAAGCTCAAGTGATCTGATATATGTATTTTAGTGGTTTTTTTTTTGGGGGGGGGGCAGGAGGTATTATTAAAGAGAAAACTAACTTTTGTAGAGTTGCAGTCTTGAAACTTCTCAGCAACATTGAGAGCTGTGTCTGACTCTGCTGCCCCTAAGTAGTAATAGATGCACATACTAAGGAGAAAGAAATGGAAGCATGTTCTTTTTAAAGCCTCCAAAGGTTTGGTGGCATACTCCTGATAATTAAAACTTTTTAGAAGTTATAGGGTCATGTTGATGTGATCAGTGGATTTCTCAAAACATCTCAAGTTTCTATTTTAGTAATTTCTATTTTGATATGCTAGCAAAGGATCCAGTGCTGGTTTTCATTAACATTTTCTAGTATTGCCAAAATCAGTTTGGCTCAGTGGATAGAGTGGCGGCCTGCGGATTGAGGGGTCCTGGTTCGATTCCGGTCAAGGGCATGTACCTTGGTTGTGGGCACATCCCTGGTAAGGGGTGTGCAGGAGGCAGCTGGTTGATGTTTCTCTCTCATCGATGTTTCTAACTCTCTATCCCTCTCCCTTCCTCTCCGTAAAAAATCAGTGAAATATATTTTTTAAAAAATTTTAGTATGTTTTTAAAGCTAAATGGCTATAAAATTATTTTCTAACCTCACTTTAATACAGTTTTATTCAGTTAATATATGTGAATAAATATATAATTGAATAATCCCTACTTTTTAAAAAATTGATTTTAGAGAGGAAGAGAGAAGGGGAGACAGAAACATCAATGATGAGAGAGAATCATTGATCAGCTGCTTCCTGCACGCTCCCCACTGGGAATCAAGTCAGCATCCTCAGCATGTGACTAGAATCGAACCCCAGATGTTCCAGGAGTCTGCAGGCCAACACTGTATCCACTGAGCCAAACCATCCAGGGCTTGACTAATCCCTACTTTTTATAGAACTCATGTTCTTTTAGCAGTCTATTTGGTACAACCTTTCTGGAGATGTTGAGTGTGTATTCCTATACAGAATGTTAATTCCATTAGCTTTTTATAACTCATAATGAACATCATAACTTTATTTTTGAACAAAAGATGATTTATATGAAAACTAGTATTTAGTAGGCATTACGTCTGTGATTTTTAACTCGGTAAAAAATTTTTCTCTTCTAGACAAGCTCCGAAGAAGTATGCCTAATCTAGCTCGGATGCCAAGCACAACGGGTGTTAGCAGCAATGTGAGTTCTCCAGTCACCGTGCGAAATAGTCAGAGCTTTGACTCAAGCTTGCACGGAGCTGGAAATGGGCTTTCAAGAATACAGTCTTGTAGTAAGTATATCAATTCTTAACTTTTGTAATTTTTAGTTAGTTGTAACACCATTAAGCAAATGCCTTACTCTTCCATTTGTTTTTCCTCTCAGAAACAGTTTTCTCCTTGTTTTGTAACTTTTTCCCCCCACCATTAAAATTAAGTAGTATTTTTATCAGTGCCTATGATACCAATTACATAGTAAATTATATGTAATCCTTCATATCCAAGGATAGCAGCAGATGCACTAAATAGTGATTAATTTTATACAAAAATCTGTTTTCTTTATAGATCTCTTTCTGTCTACTTGATACCTTCACTCTGAAGAAAGCACAGCACTATATCTAGCTGTTACTTTGGTGTTGTTTTTCACTACCTCACAGCTTCCCTCTCCCAATTGAAGTTTTATTATTTGTCTACTTCATTTCATCTTATCATACAGTCTGTCATTTTATGTTTTATTGAGCAACAAACAGAGTAATGAATGTTCAGTCTGGTATTCATATTTTTAATTTTGTGGGGATGTGATGGTTCTAGGTGCCCACACCCCCATTCCTGCTCATGTGGTCTATATAGGTAATTGGAATTAAGTCTGACCCTTGGGAAGCAGACTCAGTAGTCTTATTGATATGCCCAAACCTGGAGGCCTGGAGATGAATTGTCAACCAACAAAAGATTATTGTGTCCCAAAAACCTGATGGGAATAAAACTATAGCAGAATTTTACATAGACCTTATTTTTTGTTGAATTTGACTACTATACACATACATCAGCATTCCTGGATATAGAATTCACTTACTATATACTTGAGAAAAACTAATTTAAGAAAATATTTTCAAGAGATCTATAATGATAAAAGCATAATATGCTGCTAATTAGATTGGACAGCTGAACGACCTTCCGGACTTCATTTCGGATGTCCTTCCTGGAAGCCATAGAGGCCGAGGCAGAGGTGGTTAGGGGTGATCAGGCGGGCAGGTGAGCAGTTAGGGGCAATCAGGCAGACAAGCAAATGGTTAGGGGCGATTAGACAGGCAGGCAGAGTGGTTAGGGGCAATCAGGCAGACAGGCAGGCAGGCAGGTGAGCAGCTAGGAGCCAGCAGTTCTAGATTGTGAGAGAAATGTCCAACTGCCAATTTAGGAGGGATCAGGCCTAAACTGGCAGTCGGACATGCCCTGAGGGGTCCTGTATTTCGAGAGGGTGCAGGTCGGGCTGAGAGATCCCCCTCTCTCCCCATGCATGAATTTCATGCACTAGGCATCTAGTATTAAATAAAACTTACATTTTCTTTTTGCCTTCTTCCTATTTTTATTTCAAAAGGATATTTATTGTATATTCTATGCTTAAGTTCAAAATCAGCTAAAATGTTTTAGAAAATAGGGTATGTCCCTGTTTAACTGAATGGTAAGTATCAGGCAGCAAAGGCTGGAGAAGTTGGCAAACAACAGGCTGAGTTAGGTGCATAGATTTCTGTTAAGTTTGTGCTTCAGTTTTCCCTTGGAGAAAAGAATTATAAAATTTAAAAATTTCTGCCAAACAGTTCAGTTTCTTAATGTGAAATGATATGCACTATTTGGCCAGTACATTAGTGAAGCTTTTAAGAGACTTGCTCTGAGAGGTTTTTCATTTTATAGATTTTGCTGTCCTTATCAAACTAATAATAGCTAGCACTCCCTGAGTGGTTACGATATGCCAGGTGCCTTGTAAGGCTTCATGTAGAGTAACTCATTTATTCTCTCCACAATCCATAAATGTCATGATGAAAACTGTTTAGGAAGTCTATCTGTAATAAGCTGAACTTTATACTTACTGACATCACCTCTGTCTTCCTTTCTATAATAACAGCTAAATTGTCCTTTGTATTTTCATGAAATCCTCAAAGTAACTATCAAGAAATTCTAATGTCTTTCAAGCAAGGAAGAAATTTTCCTGTGAGAACTCAAAATTGTTAAAGAAAAGGAGGTTATGCTTAGAATATAATAATATATTAGTCTATATATGTAAAAGGCTAATATGCAAAATGTCCCCTTGGGAGTTCAACTAGGAGAATGGCAGTTATATTGCTCACTGTGATGTGCACTGACCACCAGGGGGCAGTGAGGAAGGAAGGGAGGTTCCAGCTGACAGCTGGGGAAGGGAGGCCCTGGCTAGCAGCCAGAAGATCCCAATTGGCCTCCATCACAGGCCAGGCCTAGGTACCCCACCCATGCACAAATTTTATGCACCAGGCCTCTAGTAGTAATATAATACAGTTAGGTGCTCAAAAATGTTGCTGATTGACAGAATAGAATACTTTCTTATTAAGAATTAGGAGTTTTCTAGCCCTGGCTGGGTAGCTTAGTTGCAGGCTTGATCTTTGGTCAGGGCACATACAAGAATCAACCAATGAATGGATAAATAAGTGGAACAACAAAGCGATGTTTCTCTAAAAAATCAACAATTGAATTTTCCAATACTAACCGAGGCTTCTGGCAATTGACAACATTGTATAATGCAATACAATTATATATAATATATTAAAAATTCCATTTTATATAGACATATATTAAAGTTTCATTTTATATACACACATCTTTCAGACAATATAGGCTTTTAAAAAATATAACATTTCTTAAGTTGGATAGTGATATAAATTTTGTCTCATATGAACATCATTTTCTCTTCTAGTTCCTTCACCAGGACAGCTTCAACATAGAATCCATAGCGTGGGTCATTTCCCTGTGTCTGTTCGACAGCCTCTTAAAGCTACAGCCTACGTGAGCCCAACTGTTCAAGGCAGCAGTAACACGCCTTTATCCAATGGCTTACAATTATATTCCAACACGGGAATCCCCACACCAAACAAAGCTACCACTTCTGGGATAATGGGCCGCAGTGCACTTCCAAGACCTTCACTGGCAATAAATGGGAGTAACCTGCCTCGAAGCAAAATTGCACAACCTGTCAGAAGGTAAGAGTCTTTGTTCCCTGATCTATGTTACTTGGTTTGCAGCTTTAAATTAGCAGCTGCTCCTGGCACCTTGCCTTTTCCATGGTCTCAGAAGTCAGGCTACCTCTTTGGCCTGACTTGTGTCCCTCTTCCTCTGGGAAGTAATAGGTGTGGGTGTCCCTGTGTGGTCAGGTCTTCCTCTCTCTGATCTCATCTTCTTCCTTCCTCCCTCAACTTCAACCTGATGCCCTGTTTGCTTTAATTTATCAGGAAAATTCTACCTCCAGAACTCTTGGCATTTTCCTTCCCCCAAGTTATTTGCAGGGCCTCCTCCCTCTCTCTCCCTTCTTCTCCTATTCCACTTATCCTATCTAATAAAGAGGGAATATGCTAATTGACCATCATTCTGTCACAAAATGGCTGCACCCACAGCTGAGGCCAAGTTCCCATAAGGAGCCTAAGGAGCAATCAGCAGGGACCTGAGGCTACGCCCTTCCCTCCATCCCCCCCCTCCCCCCATGAGACTTGACTGGGGACCTTAAGGTGCACTTCTCATCCTGGTGTTGGACTAGGAGACCTCAGGTTGTTCCCCCACCCCAGTGCCAGGCGGGGGAACCTCAAGCCGTGTCCCCAACCAGGTAGGACTTGACAGGGGATCTTAAGGTGTGCTTTCTGTCCTGGTACTGGGCTAGGGCAGTAATGGGCAAACTCAACAGAGCCAAATATCAACAGTACAACAATTGAAAATTCTTTTGAGAGCCAAATTTTTTAAACTTAAACTTCTTCTAACACCACTTCTTTAAAATGGACTCGCCCAGGCTGTGGTATTTTGTAGAAGAGCCACAGTCAAGGGGCCAAAGAGCTGCATGTGGCTCAAGAGCCACAGTTTGCTAACCACGGGGTTAGGGGACTTCAGGCCGCTCCCCCACCAGGTGAGCTTGACAGGGGGCTTCAGGCCACGTTCCCCACCTTGGCACCAGGCTGGGGGACCTCAGATTGCACCCCTTGCCTGGCAGGGCTTGACAGGGGACCTCATGTCATGCCCCCTGCCCCAGCACTGGGCCAGGGGACCTGAGGCTGCACCCCCTGCCCAGCAGGGCTTGACAAGGGTGGGACTGGCTCTGGCTAGGTCTGGATCTAGCCCAATGTGTGGGACCAGTCATATCTGGGTCTCACTCGATTTTGAAGTGCGTGTGGGTGGGCAGGGACTTGACCCTAGGTCCCATAGTGAGCCCCAGATTCTGACAGAAGGAAGGTTTTCATATATACATTTTACTAATTTTCTTACATTTCTATTATAGAAAAAGGGCAAATAGCAATATTAAATTATTTCCTCTAATTAATCCCCTTTTAATGTGCATGAATTTTGTGCACCAGGTCACTAGTTAATTTATAATGTGGTCTGACTCTCCTCACTAGAATGCAGGCTTCCTGAAAAGGAGTAGTTGATCTTTGCTTCACTGCTATATGTCCCTAATGCCAAGCAGCTGTGTCCAGCACAGAAAAGGATTGCAAATGTTTTATGAATCCATTTTTATATCAAAATGAGCCCAAATGTGTAAGGCATACATGCATTTTCACATATATACCATCCATCAGATGCATGGTTTAAAAAATATCTTAGTGGTAATTAATGGATTTTGTTAGCTTGTGTAAGTTCCCACTCCACAATTCTAGATTACTTGCAGGACACATTTTAGATGAGCTCATAGTCACGAGGTACCCTTCTTGAACTTAGATATCCTAGATCAGTGGTTCTCAAACTTTCTAATGCCGAGTCCTTTAATACATTCCTCACGTTGTGGTGACCCCCAACCATAAAATTATTTTTGTTGCTACTTCATAACTGTAATTTTGCTACTGTTATGAATTGTAATGTAAATATCTGTTTTCCGATGGTCTTTTTTTTTTTTTTTAAATATATTTTATTGATTTTATACAGAGAGGAAGGGAGAGAGATAGAGAGTTAGAAACATCGATGAGAGAGAGTCATCGATCAGCTGCCTCTTGCACACCCCCTACTGGGGATGTGCCCGCAACCAAGGTACATGCCCTTGACCGGAATCGAACCCGGGACCTTTCAGTCCCCAAGCCGACGCTCTATCCATTGAGCCAAACCGGTTTCGGCTGTTTTCCGATGGTCTTAGCTGCCCCTGCTAGCGGTTCTCAACCTGCTAGCGGGTCTTGACCCACAGGTTGGGAACCGCTGCCATAGAAACCACAACGTGAACCCACAACATGAGGAACTGTATTAAAGGACCGTGGCATTAGAAAGTTTGAGAACCACTGTCCTAGAATGTTTTACGGTTAAAAAAATTCTATAGCCAAAACTGGTTTGGCTCAGTGGATAGAGTGTTGGCCTGTGGACTGAAGGGTCCCGGGTCCGATTTCGGTCAAGGGCATGTACCTTGGTTTCGGGCACATCCTCAGTAGGGGGCGTGCAAGAGGCAGCTGGTCGATGACTCTCTATCCCTCTCTCTTTCTCTCTGTAAAAAAATCAATAAAATATATTTTTTAAAAAATTCTATAAAAGTGGGTTGAAGAGAGCTTAGGATGAAACAATGGAGGCAGTAAATGTAGACAACTCTTTTTTTTTTTTTTTTTTTTAAATATATATTTTATTGATTTTTTACAGAGAGGAAGAGAGAGGGATAGAGAGCTAGAAACGTCGATGAAAGAGAAACATCAACCAGCTGCCTCTTGCACACCCCCCATTGGGGGTGTGCCCGCAACCAATGTACATGCCCTTGACCGGAATCGAACCCGGGACCTTTCAGTCCGCAGACCGACGCTCTGCCACTGAGCCAAACCGGTTTCGGCTTAATGTAGACAACTCTTAAATGAAACAATGGAGGCAGTAAATGTAGACAACTCTTTTTTAAATTTTTTTATTTTATTGATTTTTTACAGAGAGGAAGGGAAAGGGATAACAGCTAGAAACATTGATGAGAGAAAAATATAAATCAGCTGCCTCTGCACATACCCCACTGGAGATGTGCCCACAACCAAAGTACATGCCCTTCACCGGAATTGAACCTGGGACCCTTGAGTCTGCAGGCTGAAGCTCTACCCACTGAGCCAAATTGGTTAGGGCTAGACAACTCTAATAAGAATATATGAAGGAAGAGAGGGAGGGAGTTAGTAAAAGGTTGAAAGGCGTGTGGAAACAAGTAATTTTTCTTTATGCACTGGTATGTATAAATAGCTTTGCTTTTTTATTTTCTGATTAGAAGTAATAGGTGCTCAAGTCAGAAACAAATTCAGGAACTATTGAAAAACACAGAAAATAAAGGCTGATTTAGAATCCTACTACCCAGATAGAAATAACTTTGGTGTATATCTGTTAAATATTCTCCCCCAGTAAGTGCAGAGCTATGTTTTGCTTATGGCTGAATAAAAAGTACATAGGTTATTTGACACATACTGTCTAGATAAATAGGACCATCCGTTTGTCTCTAACCTAACCTCCTGGAAAGGATGTCACTACCAGACTATTTGTGAGGGTCTGTTTTCCAAAACTGGAAAACACTGGGAATTCTTTGCCAGTCTACGTAGTAGGCAAATGTTTGATTATCCATAAGGTTTAAAATTTTTTCATGTTTTGCTCTGGCCAATGTGGCTCTGTTGGGTTTAATGTTATTTCATGCACCAAAAGGTCTTGGGTTTGATTCTCAGGTTGTGGGTCCCTGATTCGGGTTTATATGGGAGGTACTCCATCTATGATTCTTTCTCCCTCTCCCTCTATAAAAAGTCATAAAAGCCCCAACTGGTTTGCCTCAGTGGATAGAGATTGAAAGGTCCCAGGTTCGATTCCAGTCAAGGGCATGTATTATACCTTGGTTGTGGGGACATCCCCAGTGAGGAGTGTACAAGAGACAGCTGATTGATGTTTCTAACTCTCTACCCCTCTTCCTTCTTCTCTGTAAAAAGTCAATAAAATATATATTTTTTAAAAAGTCAATAAAAACATACTTTTAAAATTTTGTTAATTTGCTGTTTATAGTCAATTAAGTAACTGTTTTGGGGCCATTTTTCTATTGAGTTTACCTTTTTATTTCTGATTAAAGTATGTTTTATACATTAAGGGTATGGATCAGTTTTCACTCATGCCCACACACAGTACGTAGCACAGTGGTGATCACTGGGTCCCTAGCAGATGTGCATGTTGCAAAGCTCCACAGTGTGGAACACAAGGCTCACTTGGGGAAGGGCCAACAGGCAGTCACTATTGGAAGAGCAGATGAAAGGAAGCTACTTGACCCGTAGGGTTATTAACACTCTGTTTCCTTTTTCTTACCTTTATAGCTTCCTTCAGCCTCCAAAGCCTCTGTCTTCACTCAGCACTCTGAGGGACGGAAACTGGAGAGATGGTTGCTACTGACGCAGTTTTATGTGCCCTTGAAGAATTGGGGAAGAAGTGGAAATGAGGGTTGTATTACCTAGCTGGCTAGGTAACAGTGGATGTCAGGATATTCTTTCCCTTTTGCATCTTAACATACTTACTGCATTGTTTTTCAATGAACCAATCACCAGAGACTAATTATTGCACTTAAATATTTGCCTGAGATACTGCAGCATTCTCAAATCCATGGTTGCAGTATTGCGACACTTAGATCTAGAAAGTTTTTGTAGATCTGCTACGTACCTTTTTGAGAGAATTGAGGTGTATCATTAACTCTTTTTTGCCATATGAGTTTTTAAAATAACTTGTTCAATTTACTTATGTGTTCTAAACATCTTCCCATTACATGTTCTGTGTTTTAATACATTACATATTTACAAATATGTTCGATCAATGTATCCTTTGAAATTTACTTTTTTATAGTTTACAGGAATTTTATTTTTTGTGCCTATTTCTTTTTACACCTACGTGAACCACTATGGAACAACTTAAATTTTGTGCCATAAAAATATTTTTGTGGTAAGGTACTATTTTTTTAACTCTGAGGATATATCAGCAAAAATCCACCAAACAGTTTCAGAGACATAATTTTGTGTTGAATGAGCACTGTGTAATCTGAAGCATTGCAAGGAGGTAGCCAGACAGCAAGTTAAATGGTCTTGTCTTTTTCATTGTTAATTTATTGTCACACATGGGTTTCATATTTATAAAGGCATCACAAGCTCATTGCACTCAATACCGGCAATGTTTGCTACTATACCACCACCAATTTTCAATACTTTATTACAGAGGATGAAACTGTAATGTTTTATTAACAATGCTTCTGGAAATGAATGCATTTTAAAGCAAATAAATCTTTTTGATAGACCTTTTACAAAACCCATTTGCACTAATGAATGCTTTTCTTATGGTATATGACTTAATATTTGTTACTGTGTACACTGCTGTTTTGGAATGTTCAGAAATAAAGACTATTTCAGCAATATCAGGTCATGTATGAATGTGCAACATAAATGTATGACTATCATATATGTATCTCATCATAGTCGTGAATGTGGTCATTGTTGCTATGTTCTCATGCAGGACATTTATAGCTAATGCAGGTAGATAGGATATCCACATTTATAAAAATTATTTCTTTCTCTAAAATACTTGTAAGGTTTATTTTTAGTCCCATTTAGAAGGGCTAATAGGAAACTCAAGTAGTCTGTTGTCCAGAAACACATTTATGGCTGAACATGATCAGGGGAGATTTTAATACTTTGTGGGAATTGAACTTGAAATACTTTCTCAGTATCAGCAAAATATTATCATTATTCCACATTATTTTTAATATTGTTGGAAGACTTTTCATCTGAAGGTACAGTTATAGAAAGATTATGCAAACGTTTTAATGTATAAGAATAGAGTCCTACTTAAAGTCCTTGGAGATTTTTATTTTTAAAAAATGTGGCTTTAGATAGGCACATTTTTTGCCTGAGATACTGCAGCATTCTCAAATCCATGGTTGCAGTATTGCGACACTTAGATCTACAAAGTTTTTGTAGAACTGCTACGTACCTTTTTGAGAGAATTGAGGTGTATCATTAACTCTTTCTTTGCCATATGAGTTTTTTAAATTAACAGACTGGCTTTAAAGTAATTTGTACTTTAAGTGAAATGTGAGCTAGAGGGGAAGTGGTATGCAATATGCACTTCTTTAGTGACAAGACTTCGCTATATATTTTGTATACATTGGTCTAATTCTAACAATCATCAATGTTATCACAAGTTTAAAAGTAAAGACAGACACTGAGCCCTAGAAATGTGACATGAACCTTGTGTACAAATCAGCCAGGAAATAGTGAAGCTAACTTCTGAACCTATGTGTTCCTGATCTCAAAAGTCTGTTTTTCCCACTATACTCTCTTCCTATGAACAAGTGTAGTTAAGTTAGTATATTTTTTTAAGTGGGTTTATATTCTGCTGAGGAAACTAAAGGATCCAATTAGCATGTTTCATTTATATTTTTAAAAAAAGTCTGTTCAGCCCTTGGAATAAAAAACAAAAATCCCTGCATTTTAGACTTTACAGTCTAATTTGGGAGAGGGAGGGGGACAGTAAACCATAAACAAGTAAGTAAATCACAGTATGTTCGGTCCTAAGTGCTATGGGAGAGAAAGAAACGGAGATCAAAGCAAGAGGAGTTGGGAAGATGGAGATGGGGACAGATTACAATGACAAGTGGGGTCATCAAGGTAGCTCTTATTAAGGAGTTGACACCTGAACAAAGTCTTGGAGCCAAAGAGACGGAGGGAGTCCTGAAGCTTTCATGGCCTCTTTTACCTATTTTCACAATTCTCCCTAGGTTGGTAGTTAATTAGGTGCATAGGAGAGAATTTAAAGTGTTTCATACAATGGTGCCTTAGGGTAGTGGTTGTCAAAGTGTGATCCCCTCATCAGCAGCATCAGCCTCTCCTGGGAATTTATTAGAAATGCAGATCTTCAAGCCCTCCCAGACCTACTAAACCAGGCCTCTAGGTGAAATTTGAAGCAATATAGGCCTTCTTCTAGAAACAAGAAAAATGCCTAGTGAATAATCTAATGCTTAAGGGAATTGTAAAAATAAAGTATAAAGTGATAGAAAGAAGGAAATAATAAAGGTCAGAACAAATAGAGTCTAAAAAGCAACAACCCAACAATAGAAAACAATCAATGGAACCAAGAGCTGGTTCTTTGACAAGATAACCAAAATTGATAAAACTTTATCCAGATTTTTCAAGAAAAAAAAGAGGGCCCAAATAAAATCAGAAATGAAATAATAGCAGATGTTAAGCGGAATAAGCCAGTTAGAGAAAGATAAGTATCACATGATCTCACTTACGGTATACATGGAATCTAATGAATATAGTGATGAACAAAACAGGTCCAGAGACATGGAACAGACCGGTGAATCTAAAAGGGAAGGGGGGCAGTGAGGGATGACAGGAAGAGATTAACCAAATAACTTTTTAAAAAAATATATTTTATTGATTTTACACAGAGGAATTGAGAGGGATAGAGAGTTAGAAACGTCGATGAGAGAAAAACATCGACCAGCTGCCTTTTGCACACACCCTACCCCCCCCCCCCCACCCCCCCCCCACCCCCCCCAGGGATGTGCCCGCAACCAAGGTACGTGCCCTTGACCGGAATTGAACCCGGGACCTTTCAGTCCACAGGCTGATGCTCTATCCACTGAGCCAAACCGGTTTTGGCTTAACCAAATAACTTATATGCATAACCCATAGACACAGACAACAGGGTCTGAGGGTGAGGCGAATATGGGGTAGAGGAGTTCACTGGAGATAAAAGGGGACAACAAATACTTTCAACAATGAATTTTAAAAAGGAATGATAGCAGAAACCACAGAAAAACAAAGGATTATAATAATATACTATGAACAATAACATACCAACAAATTGGACAACTGCTGAAACATAAATTTCTAGAACCATACAATTTTCCAAGTCTGAATGAGGAAGAAACAAAATCTGAGTAAGTTAATAACTACTAAAGAATTTGAATCAGTAATCAAAACACTCCCAACTTATGCTGAAACTGGTTTGGCTCAGTGGATAGAGTGTTGGCCTGCGGACTGAAGGTCCCAGGTTCGATTCTGGTCAAGGGCATGTACATCGGTTCTGGGCACATCCCTGGTAGGGCATATGCAGGAGGCAGCTGGTCGATGTTTCTCATCAATGTTTCTAGCTCTATATCCCTCTCCCTTCCTCTCTATAAAAAAATCAATAAAATATATTAAAAAAACAAACACTCCCAACATAGAAAACCAAGATGGTGGCATAAGGTATACACCTGTATGTGCTGCCTCTCACAACCACACCAAAAGTACAACTAAAAGACAAAACAACTATCATCCAGAACCATGGTAAAGCTGGCTGAGTAGAAGTTCTTCAACTAGAAGGAAAGAAAAAAGACATTGAGTCTGGGCAGGAGGTGCAGAGATGCAGAAAAGCAGAGGTATGGAGGTGTGCGAATTGGGCTGGTGACTGGGTACCCTTGTTTTTCCAATTGGAAGGGAGAATCAAGCTCCCAACTGCTCTGAACTCCAGTTTCCAGCAAGACTGGGGATCCAAAGTTCTATGGGGAAAAACTTGACTGTCTGGCATTGGGTTGGAAAATGTGGGTGGCTTTCTCTCAGAGGTGCTCACAGGAATCGTTTATTGTGCTGGGGCATGGGACACGGGGATGCAGAAACGTAGAGACACAGAGATGGCTGACTGGCAGCCATTGCTGTTTGCTAGGCCCTGGTGATTCCCCGAAACCCTGCCCCACCCAATTTAGGAGCTGCCAAGACGCGCTCAGGAAAACTGCACTGCAGACCTGGTGCTTAGAAAGCAACACTGGGCTTCCCCAAGTGCTATACAGGCCCTGCCACCACCCCAGAGCAACAGCCCACCAAATCACGGCTGATGCTGCAGAGACCCCATGTTACAAAATGCAGCCCATAGCCCCACCCAGCCCAGAAATGGTCACTGTGGATTCTGGATAATGACATAGCAATGCCTGGCTTCCTCTCCCTAGCAACTAACCTCCTTGGAATTCCAGGAACACAGGTGGAAACATTTTACACTTTAATCAAATGTCTGGGAAGCATTTTCCCATGCCTTATCTCATTTGATCCTCACAGAAGTCCTGCAGTAGGTAGATAGGACACTTGGTGGAATCCTATTTTTTTTTTTTCATTAGCTGGAAAACAGATTTAGAAAGCTTAGAAACTTGGCCTGACTGAAAAGAAGTAAGAAATGGTGGACCTTGAAAACGACTTCTGGTTTCTCACTGCATAGAATATAGTCAAACACTGCTGCAGTTAAATATGTTAAATATTTTACCATTTGTTCTCCCTGCATGATCTACAATAATAATCTGATTCGTGTTGATATTTACTGCTTTGTTGCTAACAATTACCTGAAAGAGAAGTTGGGTGCTTCACTGGGCT